TATATATATATATATATAATGTAAGCTATATATGGTTTCATTATTTGTTAGTCATTTTATTGATTATTTTAGTATATCTATCTATCTATCGCCAGCAGCTCAACTAAAGCAATAAATATGAATACAGATTGATGGTGCTATGCTAACAATTTGATATTATTTATTAATAAATGTGTATCTGTAAATATGTTCTCTTCTTTTTTCAGTTCATCCCAATGCATTCTAGGATTGCCTTGAAATGAAATGCCGCTTCATAATTTTGCAATAAAGAATAATCTATATGCTAAAGTGACAAAATGGCTCCTTAGGAACCATAATAGGGGCCCAACCATACAATTTCATCCCAGGTCTGTGGATTCATGCGACAGCTCTTAAGGTGCGGACATATTTATTGTTGGTAGATACAATTTCAAATTCGTAGAAATTTCTCCTCATGAATTTTGTATTGTGTTCAAGAAGGTCACACAAATTCACTATTTTGACCAACAAAAAGTTGCTTGGCAAAAAGTTGCGTGACCCTCATGGCATTGCTATACAATTGACAATGGACCTTTTTTTGCCATCAGATTTGACCAAAAAAAAAAAAAATCTGTAAAATTTTACAGATAACATATCTATTATACATGATGTAGTGAAACTCAGAAGACCAGGGACACAAGCAATTTTAGCGAAAAATGTTTAATCTCTCCTTGATGCACGTGTTTATTTACACATAATAAATTTGCAAAATAGGAAAGAGCACAATATTTACACAATGAGCATTTAACAGCCAACCTGTCACAGTTGATTCAAGTCTGAAACTCTTCAAAAGGTATCAGAATTAATAAAGTATTAAAATTCTTTAGTTTTCGTTTTCTTTGAAATCTACATGCTCACATTTTGTTCCTACGCTTAAGTTAATTCATCCTTCCAAAAAAGGATTTTTTCTTCAATCTAGAAACACCATGAGCGGAAATCAAAACCCGGATTGGTCTTTTGGACTGAGGAGGAGTGTAAGAAAGAGGGCGTGACCAGACAACGATAAAGAGGCGTATGGAAAGAAACGGATTGTGGGAAATGGAAGGGTCAGAGGAGGTCGAGAAAAATGAGAGAGGAGTTGACAAGGCACTCTGTGCGAAACGAAAGCTCTGAGAGTCTGAAACACCTTATGTTCGGCTTGTTTCCCCCTTTACTACAACTTCTTTTTTTGTTTGTTTGTTCCTGTACTCAAAGTAGTTCTCAAAACAAGTGTCGTAAAATGAGAGGCATCACTCAAATACTTTACACAGCGAAGTCTTTGAAATGTCAGAATATCTCTGAAGAGTTCCACATGTTCCACAACTCAACATCTAAAAACGATTGAAAATCAAAGATGGCACTCGTCATAAAAAATAAATCGCATGAAAAGAAAGCTAAAGACGACATCAAAGGGAAACACATGTCCTGAGACATTACAATGCAACCAGCTGCTTTACAATCACCATCACCAAAGTCCCGCTAACGTAGCACAAAGCAAAGCACATCGAGATTTTCCATCAACGATAAAAAAAATAAAAAAAAAACATGGCTAGACCGTACATTATGATGTGTAGAATGAACATTATCAGCCTTTGGAATGAAAGTAGAACAGCATGCTTGTATTCTCAAATCATTTTGTAATGTCGAAGCATGCAGAAACTCATCTACCGAAAGTGAACTGAACATACTAATGTAAGGAAAGCCAGACGGAGGGGTCTAAATCACCTGCAATGCTAAACGTCTAGCCCTTTCCTTCTACTCTTAAAATTAAGACATACACGTCCGACAGCTGTGTCTTGTATGTTAGGAAGTCTATCTATCCATCTACTTCATTGACGCTTCCTTCCACATAGGCCTAAGATTGCCAGAAATGATCGCTAAGAGTTTATGAGAGCTAAACACAAACAAGCAAGCAAATCCAACATCGAACTAATTCGTTTTCGAATTCGTAAACACCTGTGCGAAGACTGAAAACGAAGGCAATTCCTAACAGGTGAACATCTCGAGTCTAAGGAGATTGTCTTTACCGTGGAATATACGTTGTAGAGAGTTGTGGAGGCCTGCTCCGGGTTGATTAGGAGAAATCGCAATGGCATGGAATCAATAACGTAAACCATAATCCCAAAATAAATAAATGTGTAAAGAGTGATTCAATATTACTTTCCCCAACTGGAATGAACCTTGATGTATGGCTGAGGTAACGCGAGCGAGATCCTGTCAAACGTTCGGCTGGTGCGCCTCGCTCTTTCTCTCAATGGGTTTCTGACCTAAATCTTTCAAAGACGTTTCTATCGCATCTCAGAAAGTCTACTTCTGCTTTAATCTCAGTGGAAAGCCAAAGGAGGAGAGGCTTTCTCTTGTTTGAACACGACTGACTTTAAGAGAACTGCTGCAGCACATGAAAGCAAGTCACTGCAATACACATCCTCGCAGAGTTACCGACGCTCGCAAGAGAGAAGAAAAAGAGAAACTCCAAAACAACCAAGATGGCGAAGAAAAGTAAAGCAGAGCTCGACTTCATCCGCTTGATACCCCTGAAACGGTTTGAGAATCGCTTCACATTTGTATTTGTAACACTGCAAATCACCAATCTTGATGGAAACGAGTTGAAAATCAAGAGAAAAAGCGCAAAAACATCCAATAAAAATGGCACAAGGAAGCCATGTAGCTTATGAGCTCAAAATTGAACAACAAAAAAATAAAATAAATACAAATACTTCATACAAAGATTCTACTTCCAAAAAAAGTATCTACTGCTGACATGATAGGTGTTTAAGAACGTGACACAATAGATACCGCCTTTCTGAGATGAATTCAAATCAACTTAGCTTAAGTATCAGTTTTGGTGAATGGGTAGCATTCACATACAATTATTCATCTTAAAAACACGCTCTGTGCACAACAGCTTGATTGTTAAGCTTTTAACAAACGGAGGCTGCTACAAAAGAAGCGGAACTGCATGGAATTAACATTTGCTACATTTACTGTGATGTCCAGTAGCCCCTCACTGCAGAACACAAGATCCAGGGGGCGTGGTTGGATTCACATCTAGGGGGTGGGGATTGGTAGGTTTAGGGGTGGAGATGGGTGGGCTTAGGGATTAGGGGGTGGAGACTGGTAGGTTTAGGTGTATGTAAGGTGGGAGGAGTTGGATCCCGGATTCAACCACTTCCCCTGGATCTTGTGTTCTGCAGTGAGGACCATCTCGTGATGTCACTGAACCTTCTCAGAATGCCACACTGTGACATCATCAGTAACGGAACACATTCGTCAGTTCTTCAATCTCAAGTTTTCCTTCATTCTAGACTGATTTGTGCAAAAATTATAGAGGCTTAGAGTGCTCACGTCTGAATATGAGAAAGGAACACAAAATGAAAACGGCCAATTATTAATTATCGATTGAGTTTTCACACGGAATAGCAAAGAATATGTCCTCAAGTGGCTTTCAGACTAAAACCATAATAGCAATAAAGGTTGAAAGAAGTGTACAAAAACTAAATACATAGATTCATCCACCAACTAAACAATGAACCTTTTGTTTTTCGTGAGGACGATTTCCCCAAAAAACACTAGGTACCACATGGGAACACATTTGTCTGAGTTTGTTCTTTTTTGCACATTTTTTTCACTCTCAGTTCTTCAATCACTAGGGTAGTCAACATTTAAATCATAGCACAATTCATCTAAAGAAAATCGTTTTTTGCACTAAACAACATTCAAATAAAACATGGCACAGGACATTTTTTTCGATATTTTTTTTTCATAGTTCAGTCTTTGTTTCACATATCAAATTCATCGTATTCTTTTCTATGTTAAAATGGAAAACTTTGTACGCATCTTTTCACTCTTTTTGTATAAAAATGCAGTTGTATTTATATATCTATACACATTTATATATATATTTATAACATTTTCATTTGTTGTAGTTCCTGTAAATTGTGCAAATTCAGCAGTAACACAAGTGGCAGGAGACTGGAGTGAGTGAGTTGTTTGATCAACCCAAAGAGTTAAAAAAAAGATGTTAAAGTAAGCGCTAAAACAAAATTCTGTTTGTGGGGGGGGGGTACTGTTTTATCCTTCATGGGCTTTAAGGTCTTCTGGCTCATAATACAAGACATCCTTGGTGAGTAAAAGCACACAAGCGTGGCTCAACACACACTCCAAAATGATAAAAATCCAAAAAATTAAGTCCTATTGGTTGGACGTGGCGTCCGGGGAGACATTCTGGTGCGTGTTGAGTTCAAAGGAAGTGATGAAAGAGGATTTCCACCCTGGGCTGTGGGGTCTCCAGTGTACTGCTTCTGTCCTTGCAGTCCATTAGCTTAGCTTAGCTTAGCGTGTCTTTGTGTGTGTGTGTGTGTGTGTGTGTGTGTGTGTGTGTGACTGTGGGCAAGGCTCGGGGGCGGGGTCAGGAGGTCAGAGGGAGCCAGCTGAGGTGGGTGGAGAGACGGGGAGGAGGTCCTCAGCTTGTCAGAGCCATGGTGTCGATAACCTGTTCCAGTTTACTGCGCAGTCTCTGTCGCCGAGCTAACTCATCCTTCTGTAGTGCGGACAGGATCTGTAGAGGAGGAAATGACCTCAGATTAGAGTGTTTTCACGGTTTAGTAGGTAGTTATTTAGTTGGTTTATGAGGCAAAAGGCTTGTGTGACAAAATTATAAATTACTGTATATACTCTCAGCATAAAAATGATAAAATACACAAAGCCTTAATTACACACTTGATATGGGTTTTTGCTCTTTATTTTGTTGCGCAAGTGCTTAAAGATGCTTCCTGTGTTGATTAGGATGTAGAAAAAGATACAAATAGATATAAAAATGACACCAAAGTCACCACAAAACACTCATTAGTATTTCTAAACTAGCAAGTAAACCTTCTAGGAGAACTTAAAGACAGCATGAGCTGATTTTATGATTGATTTTGTCAATTTAATGCAATGGGAATTGATTGGATGATGAAAAATTGCAGAGGGAGGAGCTAAAAATAGAAGGGCTTGATGACGTCAGCTGAAAAGAAAAGTCGTTTCAGAAGCTGAGTGAATTTAAATTTAATAATGTTGATTTTAAAGAAGGTGGGGTTCCATCCTACAACCTTCTGGTTACCAGTCAAGATCTTTAACCACTTGGCTTCACAGCTTCCTTAGGGTATGTGTCTGTCTGTTGACGGAGATGCAAATGTGCCGCTCAGAACTTGTTTGCGAAATAGCGTGTGATGCTAACACCCATCTGCTTGGTTTAACCAAAAGCAAGTGTCTAAATGTAAGGAAACGGCAAAGAAAAGAATCTCCAACACCCTCAGCGTCGGATAATGGACTGCTAATTTCCCTCCTGTTTTCTCGCAGGTTCAGCGAGGGTGTTCACGTGGACACGTGTGCATCTGGATAATAAAGACTAATGAACATAAACGGCTGTTTAAAACGCAACCAGCTGCAGTGTATTAATGTCAGACAGAGAGAGGGAGAGCGGTTTCATAGAGAGCAGAGATGATGTTTGATGAGTTGTGTTAGACTAAACTCTCCCGAAGGTAAGAAAATGGAAGACGGAAATGAAATCGCTTAGAAAGAAACAAGGCTAGGTGCTAACTATGGACACCTTTTTATATCTGCTTAATGGGTGAAGAAACACAGTTGCAAATGTAGGAATAATTATGCAGACCCACTGTCTCTATTTCTTTTCTTTTCACTAAAACACACACACATTTCTGTGTGAGGTAGAACTAAATGGTCTCCTTCGGTGGCTCATTATCTCTCCATTTATCCAGCCTGGCTGGAATGAGTCACTGCTTTTGACACATGATCTCGTGTGTGCTGTCAGATGGCGTTACGTGTGAAGGGCTACATGGATAATACTGTATCTGAATGGCCATGTATTAACAGTGTTAGATTTCAGATTTTGCCATTTTAACAGTCTATTCTGGCCTGCTTCGGTCGAAATCTGAACTAGTCAGAGTAGCTGCCATATTTTTTAATTTTTCCTCTATGAAATATCTTCAGAATGGCATACTACACACTATTTTTCAAAGAAAGTAGTTTGCATTATTTATAGCAAAATAATTTTCTGCATGCATGAAATAGCTACTAGCTCTTTGCTGAATCGTTAAGTGTGCAACCAAAGCGCACTGTATGAAATAGTGTTTCACATGATGCTACGCGCTCAACTTGATCTTCTATTTCCAAAATGAACTGAAAGTGATATTAACTGATTTTGTTTACACCTGGTCACTTCATGCGTTTTCTCTGATCGGATATCTATCTGATTTGTTACAATGGCTCCACTTGGTCTTTGCAAAACGGATATAAATCCAATCTTTAATTCTCACGCTATATGCAAATTTAATGGAGTTCATGTCAACGAAAGCAACAAAAATGTGCTGCATTTTAGTCATCATCAGCTAATTTCAAGATCAAAGACCACAACAGGGGAGAGCGCGGCATCAGCACTGGAAAGATAAGCTAGTCTCACTTCTTGATGAAGATAATTGTGTGTTGAGCATCTGCGTCTTACTTTCAGTTTCATTTGCGGCAGTTTGCACATCGGCTTACTGAAGAGATACTCAACTACTCATCCGCGGCGTCAGAATGGCATACTACACACTATTTTTCAAAGAAAGTAGTTTGCATTATTTATAGCAAAATAATTTTCTGCATGCATGAAATAGCTACTAGCTCTTTGCTGAATCGTTAAGTGTGCAACCAAAGCGCACTGTATGAAATAGTGTTTCACATGATGCTACGCGCTCAACTTGATCTTCTATTTCCAAAATGAACTGAAAGTGATATTAACTGATTTTGTTTACACCTGGTCACTTCATGCGTTTTCTCTGATCGGATATCTATCTGATTTGTTACAATGGCTCCACTTGGTCTTTGCAAAACGGATATAAATCCAATCTTTAATTCTCACGCAATATGCAAATTTAATGGAGTTCATGTCAACGAAAGCAACAAAAATGTGCTGCATTTTAGTCATCATCAGCTAATTTCAAGATCAAAGACCACAACAGGGGAGAGCGCGGCATCAGCACTGGAAAGATAAGCTAGTCTCACTTCTTGATGAAGATAATTGTGTGTTGAGCATCTGCATCTTACTTTCAGTTTCATTTGCAGCAGTTTGCACATCGGCTTACTGAAGAGATACTCAACTACTCATCCGCGGCGATGCGTGTTGCATTATCGCTGTCATATCTGACTATAACAGCATATAACATTCTCTCACATGCGTATTTTTTATTATTTTGGGAGGAGTAAAATGTACATATGTGGTTTCAACAACCAGATGCATTTACATTTGTCCAGTTTCACCACCTGAAGTGGTTTGAGCGATCAGATTTAAATGTCTCGAAATCGTTTCCGATAGCTATGCGATCAGAGAAAATGCATGAAGTGACCAGGTGTAAACAGGCCCTGATATTGCTCAAACATCTATTTCTTGACTCTTTCTTTAAGTTTTATGCAGTTTTTTACTTAATCTCTGAAATACCTAGATGCAACTTGTGGAGTTAAACATGCAAATATGTGGTCATGTGACAACGTGTGTGAAATGTTTGTTACTTATTGCATCCTATGCATATTAATGACAACAACAGTAATTATATATGGTTCAACTGGATTTGCCTAAAAAACAAAGTTGCTACCCAACACCAAAATTACCTACATAAAATTTTTTTTTATTATTATTAAATATTGACATGGTTTATTGTTACCATTACCATAAAATATACTAAAATTAGCATGACATATACAGTAGAGTTTGACTGTTGATGTTGTCAACAAAGATATGGGTAATGTTTTCCCTTCCGCTTGATTATTTTTTATTTTATTCTTTACATTCATTTTATTCAATGCACAATATTACAGTAAAATTGCATTTTATTATCTGCATTTAGCATCTTTAGCATATATAAATAATAGTATGCACTCTGTGCAGTATGCCAGTATTCCATTCTGAACACAGCTTTTCTTTTTCTCACCTCATCTTTGTACTTGGCGATGTAGGAGTAGATCTCGTGGAGGGCGCTCATGCTGTTAAACTGGCTCAGGTGGAGTCTGGACTGCTCCGCGAGATAAGCACTCATGTCCTGATCACTGATGGCGGGCATGCGTGCGATGTCTGAGTAATACCTGCAGGACAGCATAACAGCAGGTCCAGATGAGTGTGATGATTCGGGGTCTTTGAAGGTTATAATTAGCGACTAATATTTTCTGCTAAGCAAGATCTTAGTCCACTTACCTTTCTACCCAGTTCTTGTAGTTGGGAATATCTTTAGCGTAGAGCAGCTTATTGGAAGGGGAATCTTTGCCGAGCTTGTGTTCAGATGTGGAGCAGGAGTCCATGAAAGTTTGGGCCACTACGGAGAGACACGCATCTGTGATGCTGTTCTTGTGGATGTCGAACACAAACTGAGGGTTCTTGATCACGTTCACCCAGAACCTCAATGGCAAACTGAGAACGAGGGGAAGAAAACCGGTAGATAATGAGAACAAAATCCAACTGATTTCATAAAACATTTAATCTTGAATGAAATGTTTAAGCGGTGTCGCTCCTCACCAGTTGCTCTTCCAGGTGTGTCGAACATCTGAATCTGTGATTTGATGTTTGTCCGCCTGCTCGTCCAGGAAGTCAAACATGTATTTAATGGCGAGAGGGAGGGCACTGCCACGGTGAGCCGTGCTGAATATCGTCTCAAACAAATCATCAACGAATTTCTGTAAAGTACCCTGTAGAGAAAGAAGAAAACAGAAAGATCTTGTCTGAGATTCTTAATGAATATGACTGTCGAATGTCCTTTTTTTCATATACAATAAATATGAAATAGTGGTTCTCATCTGGTTATGACTAAACACTAAGTGTAACAGTAAAATTACCTAAATATATAATACAAAATTAAAATAAATTCTCCTTAACATTAAATACTGGAATTGTTTAGATATTAGCATGACTTAAACATTAGAGTGTGACTGCTGATGTCATCAACACAATATTGATGTATATTTTTTCCTGTCGGTTTCAAAAGCTAAATTTTTTAATTTTATTTAATGCTCAATATTATGGTTAGGTGCATTTTATTAATTACATTTAACATCTTTTTTCCCCCCCACAAGCTGACAACCACTGTATTACAGAAACTTTACACACATAAAAGCCTGAAAACGTAATGATTCGAAGCTACTTGCACAAAATCGCTACTTGCAAAAACTTACTAAAGGCCTAAAATCGCTAAACAGCCTCAAGCAGCCGAAAAGGAGATGTCGGTTTATTCATCATGTCTGAGAGCAGGAGAACAGCAGTGGCTCTCAGATAATATGGAGTGTGTTGATTAGAATTCTGTCGTGATCCAATCGACCAAAACACATCTTATTAGCAGGATTAAATGAGAAAACTTCATTCAAGCTCACCTTGGTGGCCAGCAGTCGTGTCAGGTAGATCTCGGACACCATCTTGCTCCCGCGATCGCCCTCGCGCTGGTCTGCATGGTCGTGGTTTTTGACGAGGTGCCAGAGTTTGGTACCGCTCTCTAGATCGGGTGTGATCATGGGCGTCCGGGACCGCAGACTGTCTGGGCTGCTGGCCGTCCTCAACATGCTCTCTGAAGAGAAAAACAAAGTCAATCATCAAAAGATTTCTAGCATTTTATAACACGGATAGCACACTTTTTACATTTGCTAGGATGAGAAACAATAATACTTGCCAAAATAATTGTTCATTCTGATTAATGTTAAAGTTCAACAAACTATCTAGTACAAATTGATGTCTTTTATCATGTTCCTTATACTGCCGCCATTTTATAAAAGCAATGCGGCAGCAATTTGACAGCAATTTTATCTTAGTCAAGGGTGTTTTAGGTACTCGTACAGCATTAAAATCACTGTAACGCATGGCCTCTCGAGGCTTATTGCTTTTATTTCATCATAATCTGCGCTATCTGGATGGTTCAGAAATCTCTGGTAGTATTGAATCCACCCATCTTCATAAATATAATATAAAGCAAAAACCTAAACAGCATAAAACAGTCACATCGGCGGTTGTAAATCGGGTCCGGCAGTCTCTTCTATCTGATGAGCAGTCGGCTGCTAAATACCCAGGAGTTACACATCAAAGATGAGAGCAGAGAGGAGCTGAGCTCTGGTTAATGGATGGTTAAGCACAGTAATCTGTCTGAGGATAAGGCATTCTGGCTGAGTGGCATTAAACAGCTTGAAAGATCAAAGACAATTTTTTATATAACTCCCGACTGGATTCGTCTGAAAGAAGAAAGTCATATACACCTAGGGTGACTTGAGGGTGAGTAATTTATGGGCTAATTTTCATTTTTGGGTTAACTAACCCTTGAAATTCCCATGACCTTACAGTTCATACCATCTCTGTCCATAACACCTTTATTTTCCTTATTTTGGCTGTTTATTTTCATGGTAACAGCTCAGGTGTGGACAGTAACTGTACCTGATAGTGTGCTAGTGTGTTCAGGCGTTTCCAGTCATTATCAATCTTAGTAGTGACATCCTCATCCTGCAGAATGATCCTCGCCAGTCGACCCTGCCGCCACTCTGAAACAGAAAACAAGATGAGTTTGGTGTGTCAATAAGAACGGAATGATTTTTCATGTTTTTTTTTTAACTGATTTGTACTTATTCATTAAAGGGGTCATATGATGCTTTTTTAAAGATCATTATTTTGTGTATTTGGTGTAACAGAATATGTTGACATGCTTTAATGTTCAAAAAACACATTATTTTTCAAATACTGTACATTATTGTAGGTCCTATATGCCCCGCCTCTCTCAAACGCTTTGTTTTCTACAAAGTCCCTCCTTCCGACAAGCGCAGTCTGCTCTGACTGGCCAGCTGACCCAGTGTATTGTGACTGGCCACACAGCCAGCCCTGTCTCCCTGACATGGCTGCTTCAACACTAACTGCGGTTACTGAAACCACGCCTTTGGGCGGCATTATGCAAATATTTCCACATAGTGAGGTAGATATGTGGGGGCGTGTTAGAACGAGCCGTTTTAGGGGGGTGTGGCAGAGTCTTAACTTTGATAAAGAATATCTCTTTGGTTTTGAGACTTTAGTCTTTGCAACTTCAGGGATCTTATCTATGCACAATCAGCTTGTAACACTCCAAAGAGAAAAGAAAACTTGAAATCGCATCATATGACCCCTTTGATCGATTTTTCAATTGAGGATGCCCCCAAATGGCTCTCAAAACAAGTTTTGCCAAATTTAACTCACTTTTGGGGGCAAGTCTGTGCTCAAACTCTAGCTATGCGTGTACAACACGCACATTGCTCCCACAGCAAGGACGACTGACCACTTGAGAGAAGCTTTCCTCTTTAGAAAGGCTTCATTTAGAGCATATAACCTTGTGCAGACCTTGTCTGGAATCTCCCTGTGCAGAGTGAAGTCGCTTTTCCAAGCTGAACAGATATGAAAACATGCATTTGCTGTTACCAGAGGTGAGCGACATAACTAGGAAGTCATAGTCTGGGTCAGATCTAAATTACGGATCTGATCAAGGTCATGGGAATGACTATTCTAAGCCTCTTACAAGCAAACCGTTCCAACAAACAACCTCCCTGCTTGTTTGTTGCCGGAGGAAGTCGCAGTTTCTTATTTCGAAACAGGCTCTGAAAGACAACTGCCAAGGAGCAAAGCAAAGCCAGATGATATCTGCAGCTGATACTGTAGCATCACTCAGTCTGAGCCAGATGACAATCATGTTGGGAACTGGTCGAGCTAATGGGATCTTGCTGTGGATGATATGGTTCAGTGTCTATTTCCCTGGTGCCCACAATGGTGACTTCAGCATCCATTTAAATCAAGCTGCTGATAAGCTGAACATTTGTATCAGCTGACAATACCTGCTTTGAACAGAAGTATTTGATTACAAGAACACGCAATCGGGATGTTAATAATTTAGTTTAATCATTTAATTAAGCATACCAATTGTCAATTAATTTCAGCACATTTAGTGTGTGTGTATATATATATATACAGTATATATGAAGAGTTCAGATGCAAAAGCCTCTAAGTGCCGTCTGAAATTTTCTTCTAAAATGAGCATTTTTATCAGGCTCCTATAATAAAATATTATACATAAATAATATTCAATATTAGAATGAAATACTAAGAAAAAATAGTATAAAGTAGGTTGTGTGGAGATAATATTTGGACTCTTCCACATGCATTTTGTGGTATTAAAATGAATAATTAAAATAAATAATTGATCACTAATTTTAATGACAGTCAACTATGAAACTTCCTGAAGAATGACATATATGTAATATTTCATTGATGTATCCATCTTGAAGCATAACTGCTCTTCCACGCATTAATCTAAACCACAAATCTCTTCAGGGATTTTCACACTGTATTTAACCCTGGGTTATCATCATTTTAACCCCGGGTGGTTGTAAAGTAGTAAAATATGTCCCCAATATACATACATTAAAAGTTGTTGTTCCCATATGTTTTACAGGCAATTTCTTGCAACACAGCTATTTTTCTTTTAACAGAAATTTAACAAAATATATATTTTATTTGTATTATTGCTCAGACGTTTGAATAAAATACATTTGAATGTATTAAACTTTGGTGACTTGTGCACCATTTATGCTATGGATATAAATGATGCCTCAAAGAGGTGTGCTGTCAATTTACTAAGTGTTCAGACTCATTTTACTAAGTGTTTGCCTGGTGGATAAAAGGGATGAAAAAAATTCACATAGACTTATACTGAAGGAAAAACCAGAACATATGAGAATAAAAAAGCTCTATTGACTTGGACCAATAATTAACCACCTTGCAACCACAAAGCAATGTGGATATTGCTAGACTGGCAAACACCAGAAAGTATTTTGGTTATAAATGTACTAGTTTGGATCCTATGCATCGGTTGTTGATTGGAATAGCATCAGCCTGGTTCCCTCGACAAAAACCCAATTTTCGTTCACCTTGATAATCTTAACAAATAAACACTTTTACTTTAACACAATTATCAAAAGTTATATATATATACAGTATATATGAAGAGTTCAGATGCAAAAGCCTCTAAGTGCCGTCTGAAATTTTCTTCTAAAATGAGCATTTTTATCAGGCTCCTATAATAAAATATTATACATAAATAATATTCAATATTAGAATGAAACACTGAGAAAAAATAGTATAAAGTAGGTTGTGTGGAGATAATATTTGGACTCTTCCACATGCATTTTGTGGTATTAAAATTAATAATTAAAATAAATAATTGATCACTAATTTTAATGACAGTCAACTATGAAACTTCCTGAAGAATGACATATATGTAATATTTCATTGATGTATCCATCTTGAAGCATAACTGCTCTTCCACGCATTAATCTAAACCCCAAATCTCTTCAGGGATTTTCACACTGTATTTAACCCTGGGTTATCATCTTTTTAACCCCGGGTAAGGTCACTCTTTACCCTGGGTTATGCAACATTTCACTTATTTATTTTGAGAAGTCATTTTGAGAAGAGGTTAAGCACCGCTTTTAACCCTAGGTTATGAAACCCTCACGAACTGCAGAAGCAAAGGTATACGCTATACAGTGTGTTGCCAGAATGTTACAGCGAATTATTTATCAACAGAAAAACAATCATAAACCACCTCATTCTATATTCATGTGCTTTGCCACAGAAACCTCCACTTTAACATTAAACATTTTCAGAGATGGACAGGCAGTTATTAAAATGGGTCATTTGCCAATCAATCTTATTGACCTCATAAATATGCAAATAGGAATATTAACCCAGGGTTTCCAAATGTAGAGTATGAACCCAACTGCCCATCAAACTAGTGATTAGCAAACGTATTCATCATTGTTGATTCAGATATAGCAAATATTGTATGAATTAACACAAAATCTGAAGCAACAATGAATAGACCTGCTAATCGCTAGTTTCTGAGGCCGAAGCTACAGAGGATCTAAAGCTACAATCTGAAGCTATAATGAATTGTAATTAGTTTGAGACAGAAATGAGCAATTAGCAATCTTATTCAATAGATTCAGACATGGCAAATATTGTGTGAATTACACATTAACAAAATCTGAAGCTACAGTGAATTAACTTGAAATTTAAAATTGAAATGTGTTTCTGAGACAGAAACTATTAGCAGTCTTATTCAATGTAACTTTAGATTGTGTGTGGTACTATGTGAAAAAGCTTTCTAATCTGCCTCAGAAACTAGTGATTAGCAAGTTTATTCATCATTGTAGACTCAGACATAGCAAATATTGTGTGAATTACACATTTACACAAAATCTGAAGCTCCAGTGAATTAACTTGATAATCGTTAGTTTCTGAGGCAGAAGCTACAAAGGATCCAAAGCTACAATCTGAAGCTACAATGAATTGTGATGAGTTTCTGAGACAGAAACTAGCAATTAGCATTCTTATTCATTGTAGCTTCAGATTTGTGTTACTATGTGAAAAACCTTTCTAATCGCTAGTTTCTGCCTCAGAAACTAGTGATTACTAAGTTTACTCATTGTAGCTTCAAACGTTCAAGTCAAAATCTAAGATAATTTCAGAAGATTGATAAGGTTCAATGCAGGAAACTTGTAAACCAAAAAAATTGCAGCGAGCTGTCACATGCGAGACATGTCAGGCATGTACCCCTCCTCAACCGACCCCCGACCGAAGTGATTATGATGGGCACGGTGAAACGAGGAAACCCACCGTCTCCCTCCGCCTTACACATACCCACACGAAACAGTTTCCTCTGGTTTTCTCCATCACTTCATCCTGTTTTACTCCACCTACCCTCCCACCATATGCTGTTAACGTCTCGTTAGCATCTGCGCTAATTAAGCCGACAGCTGCTAACGAGAGGGAGTGCGAATACATCACTCTTAGAGACCCCCACTGCAGCGTGTGCGGCCGAGAGACCAGACCTCATCCCACGCTTCAGCTTCATTAAAGAAAGAGACAGAAAGAGAGCGAGAGAGTGCAGACCACATAACCAGACCTCACCCACCCATAGGGCTAATGAACAGTAGCAGGAAAATATCCTGTTGAAATATAGAGCTAGCAGATCAATTATCCCACATCACAGCCTTGAGCAGATCTTGTTCAAAAGCACCACTGTGGCCAGAATGTTGATAAAAAAAACACACTTTGTGAGAAAGATTAGATTCGTGTCAGTTTGCTTCAACTGTGCTGTCTGAGCCGTGTCTTCATATGTGATATTACAAGCTGTGTGTTGGTGACAACAGCTTGTCAGTTCCACTAACTCACGCCACAATCCCATCCGTCTAAAACAGCGCCGCTTTTCCTAATGCTAATTAGCGATCTCAAACTGTCTGCTTCTGAACTTTTGTCAGCTAGCAGAGGAGCCAAACGAGGCCTGTAAACAGTCAAAGCTTGAAACAGACTTCAAATGAGCAAATCGGAATTGGCTTATTTGGTCTGAAAAGGATGAGTTCATCCAAAAATACAAAATTACCCTCATGTCGTTGTAAATCTTTGTAAATTCCATAGTTCATAAAAGGTATTAGGCAGAATATTCTTGCTTCTCCAATGATAAATTACAAAAAGCACCATAAATGTATAATTTTTAGCCCTACTTCATATATAAAAGTTGGGAAATATTAGCCTATAACTTTTTAAATGTTTTTAATGAAGTATTTTATGCTCACCAAAGCTGCATTTATTTGATAAAAATACAGTAAATATTACAGCAGTATTGTGAAATATTACAATAAAAAAACTATTTTCTATTTGAATATATTTTAAAATGTAATTTATTCCAGTGATGTAAAGATTAATTTTCAGCATTATTACTTCAGTGTCAAATGATCATTCAGAAATCATAATGCTGATTTGCTGCATAATTATTATTGGTGCACAGTTATATATAATGGTTCTTATTATCGATGTTAAAAACAGTTTTTGCTGCTTAACATTTTATGGAAACATTCAGGATTCTTTGATAAGTTAAAAAGAACAGCATTTATTTGAAAGATAAATCTTTTGTAACACATGTTTCACTGTCAATATTGACCAACTGAATGCATATTTGCTGAATAAAAGCATTAATTTTAGTTAAACACACACACACACACAGATACCCTCATACACACACACACACACACACACACACACACACACACACACACACACACACACACACATACCCTTTTACACACACAAACACACACACACACAGAGAGAGAGAAATAAACATTTGAATGGTAGTATATCATGGTTTCTGCATAAATATTTATATTATGTATCAAAGGAATACATTACATTTTAGAATATATTATAAAAGAAAACAATTATTTTAAACTGCAATACTATGTCGATACACAAAGTGTTTTTCCTGTATTTTTGAGCACAAATGCAACTTTGGTGAGCACAAAAAACTTCATTATATATATATATATATATATATATATACATTATTAGTAATGTGAATAAATAATGACAATTTTCATTTTTTGGATGAACTACTCCTGTATAAGCAACTACATCTGATGTTCTCGAATAATGCAAAAGCCTGTTCAATTTGTGTCATCGTTAAATTAATCTCTATGAAGTGAAAGCATTCTAGACTCCTGTTTCCTGTTGATTAAAATTCTTCCATTGCATGCTGAGCCTTGCATGATTGAACTAATACAACTAGAGAGCTGCTAATGCGAGAGTGAGAGAGAGACAGACAGGGGAGGATCGACTTCCTGCAGCTCAATCACGCTCTGTGAGTGGCGTCATGGAGTGAGCAGGAGGGGGTGGGTGGACAGGAATATATAAAAGGAGACAGAGCTAAGAGCTGATGGAGGCTAGGATGCAGAGGTGCCTGTAGGGATGGCCTCTGACCTGCCCGACCACTGACAGACAGCTTCTGTCTCATTATTTGTCACATCATGTTGGACCTAGTTGTGGAAAGGCCCTCTGGTCTCTCTGTTCTTGCAGAATAAAGGCAAGTTCAATTTTGTGCTTTTGTATGTGACTGGGTGCATTTTTGTTTTTCAGGAGTGAGTAATTACACACTTTAACAAAAATGAAAACTTCTGTTATCATTTACTGACCCCAATGCTGTTTCAAACATGACTTTTTTCCTTCTGCACAAAAAAAGATGATATTTTGAAAGCTTCAAATGTTTTTGTCCATAAAACTGAACTAAATGGGGTCTAAAACAACTCCATTAACTTTCTTTGTATATAGACAATATCATATTTTGTGATTCACAGAAGAAAGTCATATAGATGTGAGTAAATAATGACATAACTTCCATTTTTGGGTGAAATATCCCTTAAAAACACAAATTTGGATTCAGAGTTATTAGTAAGACTAATTTAAACAAACTGATTCAAAACTCTCTCTCTCTCTCTGTGTTTGTGTGTGTGTGTGTGTGAGAGAGAGAGAGAGAGAGAGAGAGAGAGATTCATTACAAGAACTGGCTCATAAGAATCAATTGCATGTGAATCAGAATTGTGACTCAAACTGTGAAAACTCACAAATCAGTAAGAGTATAATTCCTTTTCCTGTGATGCTGGTGATACAATGGTGCACCATTTAGAAATTTGGGGTCAATAAGATTTTCATTATGCTCACCAAGGCTACAGCAAAAACAGTCATATTGTGAAATATTAACACAACATTTTTCTATTTTAATATAATTGAACATGTCATTTTGTTGAATTTCCAGCAGTCATTACTCCAGTCTTCAGTGTCACACAATCCTTCAGAAATCATTCTAATATGCTGATTTGTTGCTTAAGAAACATTTCGGTAACACTTTATTTTAAGGTGTCCTTGTTACCGATGTTACATTTACTTACTATTATAATAACACTTAAATATGCAATAATTACATGCAAGTAACCCTAAGCCAAACACTAATCCTAACCCTAACCATAGAGTAAGTACATGTAGTTAATTAATATTACTCATTGTACTTAAATGTATAATTACAGTGTTACATTTTATTTTAAGGTGTCCTTGTTACCGATGTTACATTTACTTACTATTATAATAACACTTAAATATGCAATAATTACATGCAAGTAACCCTAAGCCAAACACTAATCCTAACCCTAACCATAGAGTAAGTACATGTAGTTAATTAATATTACTCATTGTACTTAAATGTATAATTACAGTGTAACAAGGACACCTTAAAATAAAATGTAACCAACATTTCTTTTCATTATCAATGCTGTACACAATTCTGTCTTATCAGTAACAACTACTATACACACTTACTTTTAAGAACTTGTTCAGAAGAAAAGTGAACCAGTTTGTAAGCATCTTTTCAGCAACAGATTCGGTCCTAAAAGAGAAAAAGGAAAGAATGAGAAAATAGAAAAAAACACAAATGCAATCCAAAAGTGAATCAAAGCTTTCTCAAACAAACAAATAAACCAAAAACTCCTTCCAATTAAAAAAAACTACACTTTTTTCAAAACAAATGACCAATCTTCATTAAGACCAGACAATTACAGTAATTGGGCGACGTCTTCCATTAATGGCCAACCTGTCGCCAGCCGAAGACCCCCAAAAGCTTCCCCAGAACAGAAGTAATTAAAGCATGCTGTAATTAATGGACTTCAATGCTCCTAATTCATCTGTAGCTGGCAAACGAGAGTGACTGTTAGCGTGAGCTGCTAACTGCGGCTCCTTCCTCCCTCAGGCCCACCAGGAGCCTTTTCTGCTGTTCAATAATGCATTCACTTAGACTTACCAACTCCCATTACTTCCCTACATAAGGGCCTATTATTAAATTATATGCTCATTAATAAAACGGTGAAGGGGAGATAAGGCGAAAGGAGTGGGACAACAGGTATTTCATGAGTGGAAAGTGTCCCGAATAGCTCATTAGCATACTTCAGTAAGTGCGCTAGATCAGGGTCGACATTTGAGATGGAGGATATCGACTTGCATACATTTGTAAGAAAATTTGAGGTGGTATTTCCAAGCTAGGATTTTTGTGAAATTATAAGTCTGCTTATGTTAGTCAAGGTTTCTTGCACAGAAGTCGTGATTTAGTTTTACAATATTTCTGCCCTCTCAATGACCCTTTTAAACAGGCTGTTTTTGCTACTGTACCTTTAAGAGTGCTGTAACTAAACAACCTCGCTTTTGATTGGCTAAAAGCCTGGGATAACTGTAGCAATAACTATTAAGTTTAATAATTGTTATAATTATTTTAGAATACGGAAGTTCACACTGTATCTATAACAATAACAACACAGAGGAACAATAGGTTTTTTTTCTTCCTCCAGCTGATTAATAATAAAACCACTGACAGACTATCAGAATCCATCCTGCTTTAAAGAGCTTGAGCATTTAAAGCAGCAGATGACAAAACTACAGTGCGTGCTTATAATATACAAAACGTTATTGTGCATTGGTATGGATGCTAACATAGTTATCGTTATAGTTATGTTTACAGTTATCGTTCTTGTTGTGAATGGGCATTAACTCTGTGTGTGTGTTTTCTCCCACCTCCTGAGCAGCAGTTTAGGGTGGTTCTTGCTCTCCAGGTTCTTGTCGATGAGGTCAGAGAGCAGCTGTTTGAGGACTCCTGTAGCGTACTCCATCTCTCCCTGTAGAGCCGTCATGATGAGTGATGCCACGTTGCCACGGTCACGCATGGAGAAGGAGCGCTGAGCTTCCAGCGTGCGGATAAATGTCAGCAGGAAGTGCTTCTTGGTGAGGAGTTGACCAAACAGAGTCAAGGCCTTCTCGACATTAGCCTGCACCTGTGGGAAAACACACAGAGCAACTCATTATACAGTGTACAATAAATTACGACAGCTATGTTGTATTTTGATTAACAGATCAAATTATCAGGTCAAATCAAATGAAATTGCAACAGGATTCATAATGATTAACATGATTATTTTAAAGGCTCTAAATTATTTCACAAGTTTGGGTCTTATTCCTGAAACGTGAGGAGAATGAATCAAAAGTTTGGGGTCTGTAAGATTGTTTACATCTCTCATGTTCAGCAAGGCTGCTATTATCTGATCAAACATAAAGTAAAAAGAGTGATTTGTGAAATTGTATTACAATTTAAAATAACTGTTTTCTAACTGTAATTTATTTGTGATGTCAAAGCTGAATTTCAGCATCATTCCTCCAGTCTTCAGTGTCACATGATTCTTCAGAAATCATTCTAATATGCTGATTTGCTGCTCAAGAAACATTTCTTATAAATGTTAAAAACCGTTGCATCGCTTAATATTTTGTGGAAACCGTGATACATTTTTCAGGATTCTTTGATGAATAAAAAGCATAAAAACAGTATTTATTTTAAATAGAAATCATTGTGTTTCATGTTTGAAGCCCATTGTGTGCCTGGTTTAAGGTCTTGATACAACAATGGCTCAAAAAATGGCATGAATTTGGGGGACGGGATAATCTATTTTAATCGGCCAATAAGAGAAGAGGACAACATGAAGCAATATTCACATTAAGCCTGTGTACTTCGAGATATTTCTGACTAAAACTGATAATTAACTGCAAAATAAACAGACTTAATTTAATTGTATAGTAAAAAAATGAGCTATTTAATTGTTTTTTTCAATTGATCAATTGTGCACAGTAAGACCAGGGACATTTTTTAAAGAAAGTTTATGTAGCTTTTAATGTTTCTGATTGACGTATTCTGCCTTTCTGAAACACAATGACGAAGCCCTTTAGTAAAGTAAAGCGTTCATGAGGCACGTGCAGCTTTCTGATTGACATCAAAGGGAATCCAATATGCTAGCAGCTCAAAACACAACAGAAGGAAATGCAGAGTGAGGGCGAGGAAGGACAGAGAGAGAAAGAGTACAGCAGGAAGCAGACGTGACCTCGGAGTCCAGGAGTGAAAGGTGGTGATGTGTCCTTCCACGAGCCGCACCTGTCACTTCTCATCTGCCTCGCTCTCTCTCACACATCTAACCTGCACAATTTCTTGAAGCCACATATTTATACTAACATAACAAAAGCAACATCTTACATGTGTCCAAACTAGCCGTGACAAGCTACTGGACATTGTCATGTATGTGGCTTTTTCCACAGCAGTGTCTACTAGTGTTGGGAAGGTTACTTTGGAAATGTAATAGATTACAGATTACAAGTTACGCTATTTAAAGTGTAATAAGTAGTGTAACTATTTCAATAATTTTATTAAAGTAATGTAACTGATAACATTTGATTGCTTTTCTAAATTTCTAATGAATGTTTTCAAACATTTAAACCAGGCAGGGTTAACCTTACAGTAGCACTCAACACTAATTAGCACTTTCAGAATCCTTCACCATTTAATTAAGATTATAATAATTTAATTTAAAGCAAAGCCACCACAAAATCTTACTTTAGAACCTCTTTTTCCTTTGAGATCATTCAGAGGTTAAATACAGATTTAAAACCATAGCAAGAAATAATTGAATAGCTATGATTCTGTTTTTGAAATCAAATCTTAGCATAACTATGACAGGAAACACAGGCATTTAACAGTTTGGGCCAGATTTACTAAACAGTAGGGTTGCATAGGGGTGGAAAAATTCTGGTAAATTTCCGGAAATTTTCCAAAAATCCCTGGAATATTCCAAAAAAATCCTGGAAAGTTTCCAAAATTTCTGGAATATTTCCAAAATTTACTGGAAATGTTCCACATTTTTGCATCCCTAATAAACAGGGCAAATAAATAAAAAACATTTTTAATAATGGCGCAAATACCAGTAATTTGACGAGTGCAAACATTAGTAAATTTTAATACTCTCCTCCCATAAATTTTGCGTCTGAAAGGGAAACTCCTACAAATGCATATTCAATAAAATCTAGAGCAAAAATAATGGTGTTTGTGCCAAAAGACGGTTTGTGTAAGTAAATCTGGCCCTTAAACTTAAAAAAATAAAGCATATACATAAACCCAAATAGGAAATAAAAAAAGTTATCGTATAAACAAGTCCTAAACTCCTGAAACATTGGTGTCTCATATTTTAGAGTCTGATTGACATCAAAGGGAATCCAATATGCTAGCAGCTCAAAACACAACAGAAGGAAATGCAGAGTGAGGGCGAGGAAGGACAGAGAGAGAAAGAGTACAGCAGGAAGCAGACGTGACCTCGGAGTCCAGGAGTGAAAGGTGGTGATGTGTCCTTCCACGAGCCGCACCTGTCACTTCTCATCTGCCTCGCTCTCTCTCACACATCTAACCTGCACAATTTCTTGAAGCCACATATTTATACTAACATAACAAAAGCAACATCTTACATGTGTCCAAACTAGCCGTGACAAGCTACTGGACATTGTCATGTATGTGGCTTTTTCCACAGCAGTGTCTACTAGTGTTGGGAAGGTTACTTTGGAAATGTAATAGATTACAGATTACAAGTTACGCTATTTAAAGTGTAATAAGTAGTGTAACTATTTCAATAATTTTATTAAAGTAATGTAACTGATAACATTTGATTGCTTTTCTAAATTTCTAATGAATGTTTTCAAACATTTAAACCAGGCAGGGTTAACCTTACAGTAGCACTCAACACTAATTAGCACTTTCAGAATCCTTCACCATTTAATTAAGATTATAATAATTTAATTTAAAGCAAAGCCACCACAAAATCTTACTTTAGAACCTCTTTTTCCTTTGAGATCATTCAGAGGTTAAATACAGATTTAAAACCATAGCAAGAAATAATTGAATAGCTATGATTCTGTTTTTGAAATCAAATCTTAGCATAACTATGACAGGAAACACAGGCATTTAACAGTTTGGGCCAGATTTACTAAACAGTAGGGTTGCATAGGGGTGGAAAAATTCTGGTAAATTTCCGGAAATTTTCCAAAAATCCCTGGAATATTCCAAAAAAATCCTGGAAAGTTTCCAAAATTTCTGGAATATTTCCAAAATTTACTGGAAATGTTCCACATTTTTGCATCCCTAATAAACAGGGCAAATAAATAAAAAACATTTTTAATAATGGCGCAAATACCAGTAATTTGACGAGTGCAAACATTAGTAAATTTTAATACTCTCCTCCCATAAATTTTGCGTCTGAAAGGGAAACTCCTACAAATGCATATTCAATAAAATCTAGAGCAAAAATAATGGTGTTTGTGCCAAAAGACGGTTTGTGTAAGTAAATCTGGCCCTTAAACTTAAAAAAATAAAGCATATACATAAACCCAAATAGGAAATAAAAAAAGTTATCGTATAAACAAGTCCTAAACTCCTGAAACATTGGTGTCTCATATTTTAGAGCAGTCAATGCAATTTGGGAAAGAAATCAATCAAATCTGTATGTGAGCGTGTGTAAAAATATTCAGATGTTACACCCTTTATAATCGTTAACATTTTCACAAGTAACTGTAATTTAATTCAACATTTTTTTCTCAGTAACTGTAGCTGATTACAGTTACATTTATTTTGTAATTAAATTACATAATTCCGTTACATGTAACAAGTTACTATCCAACACTGGTGTCTACTGAGTAGCCCCGCCCACAGTGAAATCTCATTGGTGCAAAATCCTGCTCGACATATAAAACTTGGCTGTAATTATCTCACATTGTTGCTGGAAAGTTTTCACGGCTAGTTAGGACAAAGCGCTATAATCCAAAGAAATTACGAAAAACAAAAACGAATCTCCAAGCAAGACTGCCGGAATCAGACTTCAAAGCAAACCGGCGTCTGTTATTGTCCCCTTCAGCACCTTATGTACTATGTAACCTGACAAAGGCTTTTTTTTCCGACAACACAGATTAATAAAGTGCCTCAATTCTTCTCTGCTGAGCCGAATGAAATTTGCAGCCTCTCGGGGAGGCCGATTGTACTGTAGGTTGCTTTGGGGTGAGAAGCTACACAGAGCAATAAGGGCCTGAGCCGTGCGCATAGGCACTTGATTACGCTGGGGACTCGGGGGCAAATACAGTGAAAACAAACCCCAGATGAAATAATAAACATACGATCCCTGCGCAAGCCAACAGCGTGACCTGCCGTTCGCAGACCGATGGACGTAGCATGTCGGAGAAATGGAGTATTTAATCGCGCTGACCAGTGCGTTTTCAGGTTTCGTGATTGGTCTCGTTTAGTTGAGTTGTTTTATGTAGCTCGTGCTATTATGTGTCAGTCATTAGTGTCTGGCTTTATTGTACAAGAGGTCACAATCTGTAATGTATTGAACTTATAAACTCCAAATTGCAGGTTCAAAGGTTTTTTCTTCCCCCACTCCTGAGAGTGTCACCAACCCCATTTATCAAAAGCAAGTGATGTCAAAAAGATTGGTAACCGAATTTACCGTATACATTATGACCTTTCAAGAGTGTTGATCAGGCGTCTAAGGCACAATTGTAGTTTATACAATCTCAGCATTATGCTGTAGTTTCTAGTATTAGTAGTGGTCTGCAGATTTTTGATTGCATTGTTAGTTCCGCTCTAGGGTAACCGTGGTGATGGCGATGTACTGACCCGTACCTCCATCTCCTTGAGCACCGGGTGGTCTTCAATGCCAGGGAACAGGACCCTCATGGCATAGGTTCGGTAGTCCAGGAATGGGATACCAGCTCCATCCAGCTCTTGGGTTAGTTCATGGATGTCAGTTTGGAGTTCGGCAAAAGCTGTGAGGAGAAAAGAAAAGATAAGTAGAGTTTCCACATCTGACCAATTATGTTCCATGATTTTTTCAGTTGTATGTTGACTATATAAAAATAATTTAATAAAGCTAACACACATAAAGAGTCATTTCTAAGCTGAAGAGAGAGTTTAGATCACAGCATAACAAGAAAAATGATTATGAAAAAATGCATAGGCATTTTTAATTATTTAACTGAATAATGAATTAATTGGAAAATTTCTAAACATTTTTGATAAAAATGTATATATATATATATATATATATATTAGTGCTGTTAAACGATTACTTGCGATCAATCGCATACAAAATAAACGTTTTTGTTTGCGTAATATATGTGTGTGTTCTGTGTATATTTATTATGTATATATAAATACACACACATACATTATATATTTTGAAAATATTTACATGTATTTACATGTTTATATTTATATTATAAATACATATATTTAATATATAAACAACATATTTTTCTGAAATATATACATGCATGTGTGTGTATTTATATATACATAATAAATATACACAG